GGGTTCCTTTGTTGAGTACCTACATCTGATTGTAGGAATTTTGCATCTCCCTTAGCCCAACAGGCTAGGTCCAAGTAACCCATCTTCGAAATTATCCAGATTATATTGATGGGGATGTAAAACGCTAACAATTACAAAGAAAGTAGGAAGTGTTTTCAAAATACACACAATTCTGTGTGGAAACTTTAAAGTGAGTCTAAATTAAAATAAAGTGTACAAGGCGACAAAATCAAAAGCCTAAAATACAAAAGCCAAGAATTCCTGCGAAGTTGTTTCTTTTCCACACATTGAACTTAAATTTGAAGTGACTCAAGCAACATTTTTGGGCTCAATTTCTTTTTAAATGCTCCAAAAACATATCAATATCACAAAGAAAACTTCACCAGAAGAAGCCATCCATGCTATCATTTCCCTTAGTTATGAATTAGCCTAACAAAAAGATTTTACACGTGACTTCATATTTTATGAGCCTTTCTCCCTACAAAATATCATTAAAGTCAAATGGAATTTTTAAAAAGAATCCCAGAACAATTGTTTTCTATATCAATTTAGCATTCCAAAAAGTTGTCATGTTGTTCACTGATTAGTTCCTTTGAATGAGCCCCTGGCAAAAAATGTGTGTGCCATTAACAAACAAACAAAAGAAGAATGCCTCTACAAACATTAGAGGTAATTAAGCAAACCAAGAGTGTAGAAAGTTGTAATTTTAAAAGCCAAACTTTTCAAATTCAAAGAGTAACAAACATTGCAACAACAAAGAAGATAATCTTTACAGCAGACAATTCATTTTGAATTGAACAGAAGCAGATTTACAGCGGGTGCACAAACATAGTTTACAATTTGACACCCCTGAAGAGTTGTGGCTATACGGGAAGGTGCTCAAATATTGTCACAAACAGACACATTCTCAAGAAAAGAACAACAAAAAAATTAGACCCATCACCAACAATGACTAGATACATGCAAAGAGATCATGTTTAAAAAAAGAACGAAACCAGGCATAAACAGACATGGGTAAACTTTTTAATGGGATATGCTATTTATGTCAAAGATTAAAAACTGAGAAATCCCCCTCCCCCCCTCCCCCTAAATCTAATAAATGTTATGAAGCTTGAACAACAGCTATATATCAGAGCAAATGTTCACAAGTTTAATTCATGATACGTATACTTTCTTTTCTCGAGTAATGAACGGTGATACTAATTCAGACTCTATTCATAAACTTTGAGGTCACAGTACTGTGATCTGTTCTTTTAAAAGCAAATATGTTCGAAAAGAGGAATGTGACACTATTACTGAAGAAAATATGATCTCGACAACAAGTACACTTAAATGGTTACAGGCACAAACACCATCTGTGCATAATGCCACATCACTAAATATTAGTTTGTTTTAAAAAGAGAAAAAGAAAAAAAAGAGCTAACAGCAACAATAAAGACTCAAAGAAGACACAGTCACTTAGTTATTAAAGGCAGGGAGGCTGCATGCACATACAACACACAAGACAGCAAAAAGCAACTGGATAACTAAAATGCCAAGCCAAAGCAGAAGGTGGAGTGTATGATGCGAGGATAAGCATGCAAAGTGTACAAACTTACTTTGGCATCAATTTCTTCCACTTTTTCTGATGCCTCTTGATCAATAAAGGCAATCATGTGGGCAATCTGAGAGAATAAATAAGAAAAACATTTCATTTTTTTGTGAGCCATACTACCATGCATACCTGAATGTCAAGCTCTTCTATCTTCTCATCGGCACAATGCTCAGTGTGTCTGATAAACTGCGTCAACTGCGGAAATGAAAGGCAACACATCAAGGGAAAAGAGCATTGTGGTACATTTAATTTCCTCTTTTTTTTTTGGTAAGTTTTATGGCGCCCGTGAGTGAGAAACACACAAATTGATCGTTTTCACATGAAGCACTTTCAGTTTTAGTAGGAATTAATTTTAAATTTTGCCCAGGTGGTGGCCAAAGCCTACTGTTATTGATTTCAGGACCCCCGAGGAATCTTTAATGTGCACAACTTGCACAAGAGACCTCCAAGATTTTTTCACCCTTGTCTAAGAAGGTTAGGCATTTGATTTTACCTACCTTAAGGTCAGGGGTGTGGCTGAAAGACAGCAGTAAGAAGGAGCCAGGAGTAGCAGTACAAAGAGTCAAGAAGCCAGAGGAGAGGGGGGGGGCAGAATGAGGAGATGAAAACATATATCAAAGAACACGATTAGAGAGAAGGAAAGAAGGGGAAAGGGAAAAATTTTAGAGAAGAAAACCATCAAAGGTGCACTTTAGAATCACGAGAGCTTCATTCACTTACCTTGCACACAGAAAATTCTGTGTCTTTAACTTAGGCTATACACATAAACTCACTGCATACATAAATCAAAGGCACATGACGAAAAACAAAAAAGAGAAGAAGTTTTTGGGCAATTGCATTGTAAAAGCAACAGCTGTAGCAAATTGTGATGAAACTATTAATGATAGAAAAAAGGCAGATTCCGGAGAAGGAAGCAAAAACATAGAACAATTTGAGAGGAGAACAAAATTTACTTTAAGGAAAGAAGCATTTAAAACAAAGTAATGTTATTGAATCATCAGAAAGGTTCATTTCAGTCAAAAGACATGAAGCCACCATCAGCCAAAAAAAAATGTAATTCAAATCAGGTGAGGACAAGAGAGGGTACCAACCAACAGTACTTAGTATCCAGTTTTCATATAGATGAAAAACTCCCATCCCTGAAAAATGATACAAATGTGAGATATCGAAGTGAAATCAGGCACTCATCAGACGAACGAAATCGAACAAAAAACCTTGACATTTATGTCCATTTAAAAAGACTACGGAATTTACACAAGAACATTGCTGAAAGGAACAAAATATGTAAATTTGCAGGTTTCCATTGGCAGCCCCTTTTGCACTAATTTTACCTCTAACACCAGGCAATTCACGTCTCCTTCAATCCCAAATATCTTGACTTCTATTCAAGACAGACGAGTACTTTTTCCTCAAGTGCAAGGCAAATCAATAAGCTTTAAGATGACACTAATAACTCCACGCCCAAAAATTTACAAGTGCCTGATTCCAACATGGCATAACACAAATAAAAAGAGGCTTATGTCAGACAGCAGTTACCTTCTCTGTGAAAGATGAGTTGATATTTGTTAACCTTCTAAGTAAAAACTTTCAGATACAGATGGGTGAACAAAACTTTAAAAGTTGAGCAGTGTATTTCATTTTATTCAAACGCATTATCCGTTTATCGCTGAGAAATACCTGTATCTCCACGAGAAATCATGAGGGAATATTGTCTTTCCAGACAGCAAAACATGGAAATTCAGATGATTTTCACACATGATGGGCAATGATCCTGTACACCTATCTCTAGAGATCTCATTTAGAATTGATCATGTCTCAAAATCCAAATGATTCTTGGTCTTTTCAAAATAGTGTAACAAGTGTGAGTGATCAATAAACTTGTTTAGGTGTATAAGGCTTCTTGGCAGGGGAAGACTTCTTGCGGGCAGATCGCCTTTTAGACATGAACATAGAGTACATTGAGCTGTTACTGTGATCTCATTTCTTTTCTTGCATGTTCTGAAGACCTATCAACCATTCCATTACCAAAACAGTTTTGGAAAAAAATTGGAGTCTTCTCAAACCAAGGGAGGCAAATTAATGTGTTTTGGTGTTTTACGGCGCTTGCAACTGTATAGGGTCATGAGCGTATGTGTATAGTCAAAGAGGTAAATTTTTACTTTTAGACCCACACGCAGATGCACTGTTTTGAGGGCTAAACTGATTAAAACTTTTCTCCAGAACATGACCACTAAAACCCTCAAGAATTATGGCAGTTTAACCCTCAAAACAGTGCATGTGTGTGAGTCTAAAAGTAAAAATTTACCAACAAGCTAAATATTGCTATGCATTTGGACTTGGTCCTACTATTATTGTAATATAGGTCTAGTTTACATGGAAATACCCACACATTACACATGCGTATGATTCTCATATTAATTTGAGGTGGATATACAGTCAAAATTTGTGTAAAGCAGATAAAAATGAAACAATAAAAGCGCTGTAGAAATATATAGGCCCTATCTGAGAGTAAGACAAGTCTATGAGTGTAAAATAACACCGCTAATGCATACAAGCAAATTTTAAAATGCATTTTTCACGTCATTCCCGATAAGTAGGCCTAATGCAAATATCATATTGTAATAAAAATGTGTATTTCCACATTGCTCATGATAAGTTACACAAATATTGTAAGCAAACGCAATTAAAAATGTGTAGTTTCATATCATTAGGCTGAGCTACGATAAATCAACCAATGACATTTGAATTCAAGAAAAAAATTGGATATTATGTGTGAATTCAACTGGAGTTCTTCCATGGGTTCTTTAAAAGTCTAAGCTCTCCAATTCAATCAGAGACCTTGTTGGATTATTAACGACTCGGAAGGTCTGTGCATGGGTGACCTCTGGCTTACTTCCATCCTAAATGCGGTGAGGATAGCCACTTCCCAAATAAAATGCAAATTAAATTTTAATTCAACATATTAAAATGACAGCAGAAGAGTCAGAGTGGAAAATCAACCAATCAGTAAGTCATGATGGAATCGATATCATTGGAGTTTGAGTCCGAATAGCCACCGGAGGCTATTCAGACTCGAGTTCAAATAGCCACTTCGAATGTCTTATCAGCTTATGAGAGGGGGTTATTCATGTGTTCGTAACACTATAAATAGAAAACTATGAAAGATAAAGGGTTATTTTCATCATCGATAAACACACTACCACGGTATTCATGGCAATAACACATGTTTCCAGGCCTGCTCGCTTACACAAACAGTACACGCTGAATGACCCCGACGGCCCATCCAGAGCGTCTGTTGTAATCGGTTGCTGATAAGATTCGCATCTCAGCACAGACGCAGGTAAGATTGTACTTTATCGGACCATCGGTCGGAACTACTTTCGCTATGACGACCCTGGTGCCTAGTGGTCCGCTGTTCACTGTTCTTCCTTTCCCAGCTCCCCTACTCATTTTCCTACGTCCCCATCCTTCAACTTCAATTGACAACTACTGACTGACGTTTCTTACCGGGTTTTTCAGTCGTCACGACCGTGCCACCGTGCACGTTGACCCACGACCCTAATCACGTGGTCCACTATTCTTAGTTGCTCGCGACTCTGCTAGGCCAGGCCTACTCCAAAGTACAATGGAGGGCGAGAGATGCGCACGAGAGCTCATATGCATAATTGCAACCCCCTCGGCCCTGCTCTCGACTTGTTGGTGAGTGCTGCGAAGCAAGGCTCGGCCTGTTCCAACTCTAATTAGATCTACCCCAATTGTCCACTTAGCTCCATGGTCCGCTCATGTTATTCTTTAGGCCGACTCTATTTCTCAAAACGCTCGGGAAAATGAAGTTTCTCCGAACGCTCGGGAAAATGAAGTTTCTCCGAACGGTTTCCGTTCTCAAGATTCGTTGATAATTTGCCAATGGAATGGCCTGCCCGCCGAGCGCACATGTGTGTTTAAGAGTGAGTGTGTGTGAGTGTGTGTGAGTGTGTAAGGTTGAACGAGGTGTGGGGGTGGGGTGGGGACTGACGTGGAGGGATTTTTTTTGTTTACATGAAGGATTTTCGTTTTTGCTTTAGGGGCGACTAAATGCAAAGGCCAGCTCTATTCGAACTCGAGTCCGAATACAATTTTTATCTATTCCGACTCGATTCCGAAAAAAAAGGATTTGTGTATTCGGACTCAGCTTGTAAGTGAGTTATGTGAGTGTAAGGAGGTTATAAATATATAAATGTCGTCGGGGGATTTTATGTAAAACCAGAATTAGAACTAGAATTGCCTTCTAGGACTGTGTAATTGTGTAAAAAGTCAAAAGACTGCACTCTCATTAGATCTAACCAATGGCAGTGTCTAAGTACATGGTAACCGACAACTCAGGGTCCTTCCACCACCACTATAGCATCATCATTACTTCAACCACCATCTGTCTTTCCACATGTTTAATTTCATTTTGTTGTGTATTATAGTTTTGCTGGAATTGTTTTTTTTTATTACATCACACAAAATCTACAGCTGTGGCCTCTTCCCAACACCTCTTCCTCGAGCAAGCCGAGAGTGCGAGATCGTTACGCACAATCTCATTGGTCGACATAATTAACTTTGCCCCAGGCAAGGTCAACTCAAATTAGTCGTTCTGTTCATACTAATGATGCAGGGAGGGCCAGTTTAAATAGATCTAGATCTAGTAACTGGATATTAAAGCTCACGTCTCGACTGTTATCATTATAATCGAAATAAAGTTCGTAAATGCTGGAAATACAAATTAGGAACAAGGGTCCGAAGTCAGAACGGATGTCATGCTGGACTCAATTCAGAGTCTGAATATATATTTTTTCTCTATTCGGAGTCCGAATAATCACTTCGAAATGCAAAATAGGTTACTGTCAAGGTCGAGCAGTCCTGTTTTCTCGTAGTACCTTTTGAGGGCATCGGAAACGTTGCCCCAACCACAACTCAAGTATCTTAATATTCAGGCATTTAAAAATCTCTAGATCTAGCTCTAGAAACTGAATGCCATGCAAAAAAATGCTTCTTCCCAGTCCTCGCAGAATGGCAGAATGAAAGATGACACCTAAATCTCGCAAA